AACTACGCTGTACCTAACACTACAATGATGCATACGTTTTAGTCATCTGTCTAGGCATTGTTGCAAAACAAGATCAAGAAACTGTCAGCTAGTTTTACCAATGTAGATGACACCATTTTCTTTACATTCCAGAAGTTTCTGATCTTTTTTATCAAAAGAACCAAAACTGAATTTGTTTTGCTACAGCATGTATCTATTTGTAATGCATATCTTTTACTTTGAGGTTATGCCGGGTTTCTGTATGATTGTAACTGGTAAGATGCATTGTCTCGCAGTTCTTCGCAAATCGTTAAACCAGCTTACAGCAATAGCCTTTGTCAATAGTTTAATTTGCAGTGATATATGTTTTAAGTGTAGCATGTTAATTAATTTTTTATTCTTTCCACATACACTTGATATATATATATATTCTATATATTTATCAGAATACACTTTTGAATTCATTACGATTGTCTCATAGTGTTCCACTTATTAGCAATAGCTACTGAGAATAGTAACACTGAATATTAGATATAGTTACAGTTATGTGTGCAAGACTTACACAAAGTGTCATAAAAAGTACGATTTCATGTTACGTGTAATTAGTGCACCTGAAAGGCTAACATAAAATTTTTGAAAACCACGAGCTTTTGTCCAGTATTCTTTAGGAGAAGAAAACAGCCATTACTTGTCAAAACACACAATGGCTCTGGTTCACAAATTTCACATAAAGTTGTCTGACCTTGATTCCTTAACCAGATTTAACCAGAAAACCAAGTCTAGAACGTTAAAGTTGACCACGGATAGTCACCAATTTGGTAAACAATCCCATTAGCTGTCTGTTTCTTTAGAGCAAAGCCGCATTGGGCTTTCTGTTGTGTCCACTGCGGGGAATCGAACCCCGGATTTCAGCATTGTAAGTCCGTAAGCTTACCGCTGTACCCACAGGGATTCTCTTACTTGTCAAGTTCGTTTTTTAAAAGTATTTTTAACTTCAACAGTCATTTATTATGCATATATAATAAAAGCAATACTATGATATGGCTTCACTGCTTATTTCTTAGGTTTTTAAATGTACATTGCACATCTTTGTGCTCACTAATCACATTGAATGCAATTTTCACAACTATAATAAAGTGAAATCAAACATGCTTGTTTAAATGTAGTTTCGATTTTTGAAAACGACTTAAACTTATATAATAATTCTGAATTCTAAATTCAGAACTTATTTGAGATACAAATGATTACTGACTCAAAAACTGCGTCTATTAAGTTGAAACCTATATTTTAGAAAACAGTTTCTGTTTTCTCGTGTTTCAGCAAGATTCGTAACCATGGTAACAGACGCGCACTCAACCATAAATTTCCTATTTAAAACACGACTCAATACCATGGTAACAGACGTGCACACGAGGATAAATTTCCTATTAAAATCAAAGATGGGTGTAAATTGAAACCATCAGATAACAGTACTGTTTCCAGAGCAGCAAAAATGGCTTTTGATTATACAAATCAATTTAACATTGAGTTTGTTTTAATATATGAATTCACGATACAAAACAACAACAACAAAAACAAGTATTTTACGTAATGACTGTCATCTGATGCTGAAAATAGGTACAGCTCAGTAACTTACAGAACATCATGTACAAGTATCTGAACTCTAGAAGTATGCAAGTGTAAGTCAATATGGTCAATACAGCTTTTGGATTCGCCATGTGTTTGGTGAACGTAGATATGTATAAATAAAATATCCATAGCTTTCGTAACAAGATCAGATCAGCGTGTTCTGTTTTAAATACTTTTATTGGGTACCTTATGACCCAACTGACAAGTATGGTACTTTGAAGAGAAACACATTAATTCTTCGTGCAAATGTATGGTGAACAAAACTGTTTTTTTTCAAGGTGTTAATAGCAAAACGTGTAGGGGTTCCATAGTTTTTAAATCTATGCTATCTCCAGATTCTATGACATTTCATACGACAAAAATGTCTTTTTACAGCAACTTAAGATTGCATGAATTTCATTATAAACAGACGTGTTCAAACTTCATTGTACACATTTTTAAACAGACGTTATACCACAATTATACTTGGACGTTTGCGTTATTTTCAGCAGATTTCTTAAAAGTTTAACGTAAAATACAAGTTTGAAATATTTAATGCAAACATTACATTTTTCATAAACAATATGTCGGAATACTTGGTCTTTTTTTGGTCTTCTGTCGCTTAACCGTAAAGTGAAGTGCACAAACAAGTTGAAATTCAAGTGTGTGAATCCCGCTGGGCTAACCTTTAGCTAATAACAAGACCCCCCCCCCCTCACACACACAGACACCAGTAGTGGCTCAGCAGTAAGTTTGTAGGCTAGCGACAATACCCGTGATGGGCAGAGCACAGATAGCCCTTTGCGTAGCTTTGCCCATAACAACAACCAAACCAAAACAAACCCCAATAACAAAAAGTGCAAACATATTGTACAAGGTCGTATAAGTCATTATATTACAAGATTTCTAACAATTTCGTGTAAGTCATTATACTACAAGATTTCTAACAATATCGTGTAACTCATTATACTACAAGATTTCTAACAATATCATTTAAGTCATTGTACTACAATATTTCTAACAATGTCGTGTAAGTCATTATACTAAAAGATTTCTAACAACGTTTTGTAAGTCATTATATTAAAAGATTTCTAACAATGTTGTGTAAGTCATTATATTACAAGATTTCTAACAATGTTGTGTAAGTCATTATACTGTAAGATTTCTAACAATGTCGTGTAAGTCATTATACTGTAAGATTTCTAACAATGTCGTATAACTCATTATATTACACGATTTCTGGCCCTACATTTCAATAATGATCTTAATACAAAACTTCGACTACGTAAACACCTTAAACATTGGTAAAACAAAATGTTTTTACCACTCGAACTTTTACTTACCGCTACTAGCTCATACTCCATTGACGTGTACAGGGGTGTGGCTAGGTGGGCTCAAACTCCCGTCTTCCTCTCCTTATTTCAACAACTATGAAAAGATACATCTGATTCCACACCTTGCTTGCTGAGAGTTATTAGAAGAAGAAAAATCAACGTTAAAATTAATGCCACACATGGACTTGGTTTGGTTTATTTGAATTTCGCGCAAAGTTACACGAGGGCTATCTGCGCTAGCCGTCCCCAATTTAGCAGTGAAAGACTAGAGGAAAGATAGCTAGTCATTACCACCCACTGCCAACTCCTGAGCTACTCTTTTAGCAACGAATAGTGGGATTGACCATCACATTATAACGCCCCCACGGCTGAAAGGACGAGCATGTTTGGTGTGACGGGGATTCGAACCCGCGACCGCCAGATTGCGAGTCGAGCGCCCCAACCACCTGGCTATGCTAGGCCACACAGGGACTTATAGTAAATAATAATAATAATTTCGATATGCTATTAAGTGTTAATACGAAATACTTCACTGTTTAGTTTTATATCATAAGAATGTTTATAAAATCAACTGATTAGCAATAAAAGAGGGTCAGTTTGCTTAATATGAATTTTTACCTTATGAGTACCAGAGGTAACCCACAGTCCCCATATCTCCTCTAACACTCCTCTACCCCTCCATGTTTGAAAAATGGCCTTTTTTTTTTGTTAATGAAATCCTGCCCTTTAATGACATTACTGGAAGGCTCGATTAAAAGATTTCAATAAAAATTCTGCCATTCATAAAATTATTCAATATACATGATTATTATTGACTTTGTTTAATGCAAACTGGAGTTTATTACATACATGATTATTATTGACTTTGTTTAATGCAAACTGGAGTTTATTACATACATGATTATTATTGACTTTGTTTAATGCAAACTGGAGTTTATTACATACATGATTATTATTGACTTTGTTTCATGCAAACTGGAGTTTATTACATACATGATTATTAATATAAATGTAAATAAAATAAGGACCTACACCTGCGAAATGTAACTTTGTTAGCTCAATATTTCGCTATTACCGCTTCGTCAGAAGCTATCAATTTACTGTCAGTTCACTCAAATCGATAGCTACTGACGAAGCTGTAATAGCGTATCTAATAAAGTTAAATTCTGAAGATGTAGGTCGTTATTTTATTTGCATTTATTCAATGTACGTTTTGAGAGATCCTAAACTAAAATTAACAGAACAAATCGTTTTACTAGGTGAACAGTTCCCAAAGTTTAAATATGTCTAAATATATATAATTCTGAAAAAAACTTTCTTTAAAAAAAATTAACTTTAAAGTTTTTTCTTTTCATAAAGATGCTCCGGAATAGGATTTCCTCTATTAATCACAGCCACACAATCAACAAAAGTTATTGAATGGATGTGCTTACTGCTGTACCCTTAACGAAATGTTGAATGTTGCAGTGATAAATCAGTCATTTATATGTTGCCCTCTATAATCTTGAACAATGTTTTCCAGATATAAAACACTATATGTATCTAACAGTTACCAGAACTACATCATGTACATCTACGCTTTTATTACTGCTACGTTGCTATATCATTTTCTTCCACATCAAGTTATTATTTGTTTAAAATATTTGTATTTATCAATAAACAGATTATTAATAATGTTATTCTGTTTTGCCTTATATGGCTATTATTAAAGTACAAAACTAGTTTCACCTCAAGTAGTGTACCAAAAACCGCAATAGGTTTGATGTTATCATTTGATTATTATTTTTTCTTTTGTGCAAAGAACTTCGAACACTCATAAACAGCTGTTAAACAGTTCATACGGTTTCACAACCATATCATATGTTTTAATCACGCCTTACAGTGGCCCAGCAGTACGTTTGCAGGGTTACGACCCTAAAAATCGGACTTCGATAACTGTGATGGGCAGAGCACAGATAATCCATTGTGAAGCTTTGCGCTTAGCAACAACCAACCTAATCGATTTTAATCACCTTCACGTGACTTCTGCACCTTTCAAGGTCAAAATGACACATGAAATAGCTTTCTTTCGGGTGTACGAGCACCAACACTTCTTTATTTAAGTTAATCGGGATTATAAAACCTTTACAAGATCAAATTCTACAGGTACTACATCGGGAAATTACAGAAATATCAAAACTTTCGTGAACAATAAGAAATATGGATATCATATCGTATTATCTATGGTTTATCACCTACTGGCAAGTACTAAACTATTTGTTCGAATGATATTAAATAGCACGATGGAAATCTTGGCATCATACAGTGGTCTAGTCACTGGCTAGTCGGATAATATCTATTGACTTTACAAGGTGTGTAGATACAGGTAGGTGCTGTTTCTTTTAATCATCGAACGAGAACTCTGTCCACTTTCACAGAAGTGCTCAATGTTTAAGATATGATTTAAAGAACCAGGGGCATCATTAATAATCACTTAGCTTCAAACAAACTCTCGGCCTTAGTCTTCTCTTTGCCTTCCGGACTTCCAGACATTTCTCAAATCTTCATATGCACCAAATTAGTAGATATGATCCGCTGTGAAATTTTATCAACCCAACGAACCTAGAAAACGGGGATATCAATATTCCTGAACATCCCAGTTTAGGAAAGTTTTCTTTCCTTTAAAAACTAATTCCCTGCCACGGTTTTTGATATATATTTTTTCAAACAAAGGAAACTTTCCTCATCAATTGACATATGAACTCTGCTTGTCTCTTCCTTGTTTATTTATATTTGATGACGTTGTGTGTTGTGTTGGCTTGTACCATTACTTGTTCATTAGTTTTCTTCTTAATTCGTTCTACTAGCAGCATTCTTTTTAAGAACCACATTTCAGCTAATTCAAGTTTTCTCTCTACTTCCTTTGTTATTGTCTAAATTTCACACCCGTAAATAAGTATGGGCTCGATGCAGTAGCGTGCAGAGGGGGGGGGGGCGAAAGGTGCCGGGGCATCGGGAGGGCATCCAACGCAAAGAGTCGAATCGAATAGTAAAACCCTTTCCGCCCTTCCCCAAGGTCTTAGGTACAAGGCCCCGGGCATCATAGAACCTATGCACGCCACTGGCTCGATGTAACATTGCAAGACTTTTTTCTTACTTCTATTGAAATATTATTGTCAGAAGCAGATTAACCATAACACAGAACAACTGCATACAACCTCTTGATCAAAATTTTAGCATTTAAAAGTACTATACAGCTACGCCTTGGTTAATTTCTCTGTGTTTTGGCTATCAAAAGTTGTATATCTACCATATACACATTCTTTAACGTGTCTAAATGTCACGAGTTTTAATTTATTATATTGTTCTTATGCTACAGCCTTAACAAGATAATGGAAGTGTATTGATATTAGTAATGTGTAAGGCTGACAGTGTAGAGGTAGTTTAAAAACATAGTGCCATTTTTTTATGATCATTGAACTTTGGTAATTATTAAGTTGAATATTATACATTTATAATAGAATACAATTCAAATTATAGAGAAAACAGAGGACAAGAAGAATTCTTATTAATTGTAAGGTTTCCACTGCCATCAACATCCATAACGATAGTCTTGTTTCTTTAAATATCATAAGTTTAATGTAGTTGAATTACGTCGATAGAAAGTTTATCGAAAAGCTTTTTTTTCTAAATATTTATTTTCCATATTGCATTAAATAATTTTGCGGAAAGTCTCCTCTGAAGTCACGTTATAATATGTAAAAATGTGATTGACTAATATGTTTTTGTTACTTTTAGCTTCTGATTAAACCTATATCGACGTTCCAATTCCTGTGGTTTTGGTTCAATGACGCTCTTGAAAAATACATCTAGTGCTCATTATGAAGTGGTAGACTAGAAGGGAACTGTTAGCCAACAGCGCCCTACCCCCCCCCCCCCCAATTCTTGGACTACTCTTGTATAGTTGAGTAGTGGCAATTGACAGAAAGTTTTATAGCACACACCCACCCCAAAATGCGGAGTGCGATAACATGTCGTGAATTATGAATCCTTGGATTCACAGTCCGGGCACGCTAAGAATGGGCCATTCCCGGCCCTGCCCGTTTAACATCACTTTTAATGTCACCGTAGCGAAGAACCACAAGTCATTAGCTCACTAATTATCGTGGTGACTGTAGTAATTGTTACAAAATTAAGATTTTTTTTAAATAAATTGTCCAACAGTGATTTTATACTAAGCACTGGAAATATTGCCGAGATAAAGGTTTAGTTTCTTCTGTTTCCGCTAGTTGTCTTGATTTCTGGATTTATAGGAGTAAGTTTGTTTTTATTCTGAGAAAAATGAAACTCCCACTGTAATTGATATCGCGACATGTTGTGTATATCAAGATAACGAACTATGTAACCTTATCATCTGTTTGGTTTCCTAATTAACCTTGACCGCTCATTCTTAAGATAACCTTTTCAAAATGCTGCAGTGAGAGACGACGCCTCCCGGCTTGTTGTCATTCTGTAAACATTTGAAGTAAACACCCACTTTTCGTTAACGGGGTAAAAAGTATGGTCACTCTAGATGTGATCGATAATGTATTACTCAACATAAGTATAACTGGAAATATCTTGATTTATATTTTGTTTCTAAATACCTACCCGTCTTTACTGTCCAATCATATTCCTTTTACCGTTTAGCACTATACTATTACTGTGTTTTGTCCACATTTACTTGTAAATAATAACTGTCTAATCACGTTCTTTTCACCGTTCAACACCATCCTGTTACTGTGTTTTATCCACAATCTTGTGTAAATAATAACTGTCTAATCACGTTCTTTTCACCGTTCAACACCATCCTGTTACTGTGTTTTATCCACAATCTTGTGTAAATAATAACTGTCTAATCACGTTCCTTTCATCATAATATTACATTTATAAGTAAATAATAACTCTCTACAAAACTGTGTTTTTATTCTCGGATGTAAACATCATATTGTGAAATGAATATGTTTTGTACGTAGAGTATTAAAACAAAGAACCAGATTAAAAATTTTGATAAAATGACCATGCTCTTTGTGAAATGGTCCTGTTAAGAATATATGAATTTGAAATGATACTTTCATTGCTTCACTTCTGAGCACATGTCTATACCACTTATGTAACAGCTACATATAGACACTTGTCAAATATACATATATATTGTTACGTCTCTGTTCGTTTGTTAATTTCCCGTATAATTTCTTTCCGATGAAACTTAGCGATACAATTCCTTTCTTAATTAAAACTAGTTTATTATTTCTTGATACAACTATATAATACACAGAATTTCCACAGTCCCTTTAACTTCAACACACGCTATAATTCACAACGATTTACACCCTTTACTCACGGCTTGACTCGATTATTCGTCTCTATATCTCCCTATCTGCAATTGTTCCTCCGCTTTAGTTGCCGGCTTATATATTAAGATAGAGGGCGCGTAGAAAAGACTAGAGTTGCCAGGAAGAGACATGATCCTTCTAGAAACTCATGACGTGTTACCAGTGTCACGTGACTTCCGCTGTCGTAACAATATATGTTTTTTAAATATGCCTCCAGTGGCTCTGCTGTAAGTCTGCCGGCTTAAGACGCTAAAAATCAGGGTTCAATACCCGTGGTGAGAAGAGCACAGGTAGCCCATTGTGTAGCTTTACGCTTAGCAACAAATAAACAAAAATATAGTTTTTGTCCTTTGATTCTTGAAGCTTTCGAATGATAAAAGTGATGTTTACAACTATTCTACAATAAACTGTTGAGGTGTCTTTATAATTATGAAATATAAAATTAGTCTATAAGCATTATTTAGTGTCCTAAATGGGATTAAAAATATATGAATCATCCTTCAGTAAAATCGAACCCGTGACCTCTCTTGCACTGTGCGGATGCCCTACCAACGGATGTTTTTTTTTTTTAGGGTTAATCCCCATATCTTAACTATCGCTACTAAAGCCCTTTTATAAGTTATTAATAAACACCAAGCCATGTCAAACCAAATAGAACAACGAAACACAGTTTTCTTGTCTACAACGCTTCCATTCATTGAAACTGCACGAATCTTGTACTGAACATGAGAGTGCGTAAGTATGATTTTTATGTTATTTTTCTTCTAAGTACACTTTCCCTAAGTTTTGCTTAAAATAATTAGCTCTATACATAGCTTAGTAATACATGAAAGTATATTAGCCGTTCCTTATTTTGCAGAGTATATTTTGCATAAATTACTATGTTGTCGGTTACATCGAAGTCTTTCATTGTGTTATTATTTCTTATATTTCTAGATGGGGTACACGAGTATTATCCTCCTCTTCGGAGTTTCTAGTGCTATATTAATACCACTCCTCTGGCCAGACCCAGATCCTCCAGTTCTTCCAGACATGTGGTGGGGCCGGGGGAAAATGCCGTCTCATCGTTTGTATTTTCTGCTTTCATTTCCTAGAATTGTTGTAGTCATGTTGCAGTTTATTGAATATTTTTGGAAAGTTTCACACCAAGCAAAGGGCTATCTGCGAGTAACTTTCCATATACGTTTGAACTAATAGATTAGAGAGAAATCAGCCAGTCAGTAGCACCAACCGGCAAATTTTGGGTGACTCTTGTTTGATCAAGCAATAGAATTTGACCGTTACTTTCATAGTGTATCCACGGACCCTAAGTGCGGAGCGCGATTTTGAGGTATCGGATCGCGAACCACGAGCCCTCGGGCTTACACTCCAAGCAAGTAACCCCAGGCCCTTTAACACACGAACTTTCTTTTTTTATTTCAAATATTACTATTCAGCTTATTTATAATGGAAAAGATAATCGCTTGTATTATTTTCTTCTTTTTTTTGTTAAATTAAATTATATTTTTATCGATTCAGTAGTTTTAAGTGTTACTGAATTAGTGTTGCGAAACAGTAGGACAGTTTGTTTTGTTCGTTTTTGAATTTCGCACAAAGCTACACGAGGGCTATCTGCGCTAGCCGTCCCTAATTTAGTAGTGTAAGACTAAAGGAAAGGTAGCTAGTCATCACCACCCACCGCCAACTCTTGGGCTACTCTTTTACCAACGAATAGTTGGGATTGACCGTCACATTATAACGCTCTCACGGCTGAAAGGGTGAACATGTTTGGCGGGACGGGGATTCGAACCCGCGACCCTCAGATTGCTACAAGTTTAAGTATACAATAAAGGTTTGTAATACCAGTGTTGTTTGTTTTGTTTATTGAAAAGCTACTATTGTTGTGTCCCTAATTTTTGACTAATCACCAGAGAGAGAAGACTACCGGCCGGCGGCATCCAATGCCAACTCTTGGGCTACTTTTTTATCAACGAATTAATGGGATTAATTGTCACATTATAATGCCCCTGCGTTTGAAACGGCGAGCATGTTCGGCGCTGGGTTTCGATTCGTATGATAATATTAAGTATCTATATTATTATTCTGCTTGTTTGTATGTACGACCGTTACGCTTTCTGACCGAGAACCTGCTGCATAAGCATGCATAGTTAGAATATTTCCCCAAGAAAAACCGCGCATGCGCATTATTCACTCGGCGACAAACACTCTGCCTGCGGTAGAGAGCTGTAAAGCTCAGTGATCAAGTCGCTACAACTGCTGTATGAAACAAGAAGTAACAACAAAAGGGGAATGTAAATATAATTTACTAACCATTTTGTAAAATAGAATATTAAAACTTATCAAAGTTTAAAAAAAAAGGTTTGACGTTAGATCATGGAATAACATTATAAGTTTATTTATCGGTAGTATTAAGTACAGTAAAGTTTAGTCCTAACTAAACTAAAGTAAAAAAAAAAACCTACACAGGTTACAGTGTTGATTTATCTCTTTATCGAACTTAGGCTTAATATAAGCTAATGTTTTATAAAGTACAGCCTGTCTACAATTACAATTCGTTTGTATTGTGCTAGAAATGTTATATTTAAAGAAGTAGTGTTACGATAAAGATACTAATTTGACTGGAAATGTTTTGCGGGTCTCTGCTAGTGGTTATAAATACTTAAGAGTGGAGCCTTGTGATAGAGCTCTCGATTTCGAAACTGACGAGCCGGGTTCGAATCCGTGTGATATGAGAATAGTCCCCTCACTTTAAGATGTCAGTGTGTTACAAAAGTCATAGCTAGTCCCTCAGCCTGGATGGTGATTGGTAGGGTGCTTCTGACTGAATTCCTTCTTTCTAGTCACTAGTTCAAATTTAGGAGCGGCGGTAGAAAGCCTTGGTAGCTTTACTACAAAAGTAAATACAAATAATACTTAACATTAATAAACTTACTAGTTATTATCTATATATATTGAAAAATAGCATGTTTTTGTTTTCAAATAACCACAAGGCAAGTGAAAAAACTAAAGCAGAAGAAACTATTATACACTATACAATTCTTGTAATATATATCAAAATGTTATTCTCCAACAGCTTCAAAATTTCCGAAAGATAACACTGCCATCAGACCGTTCACTATAAATGTCAAGAACAATACCTTACAAGACCTGAACCATCGCTTGGACAACGCCCGCCTTCCAGAACCTTTGGACAATGTCCAATTTCAGTACGGATTTCATTCCAAGTACCTGAAAAAAGTAATCGATTATTGGAGAAACGAATATGATTGGAGAAGAGAAGAAAGAAAGTTAAATCAGTATCCGCAGTTTCTAACTCAAATAGAAGGGATTGATGTTCATTATTTGCACATTAAACCAACTATTAAGAACTCTAAGGTAAAATTACTTTCACATTATCCTTTTATTCCCATTTTAATTTGTTCGACTGAGTTGTGTTCCAAAGTAAGTCCTCGTTTGTGACTTGTATTTCCAAACTGAGTTAAGCTAATTCAGAATTATCTCTATTTATTGATAACCTAAAGCAGTGCAATTGTAAGTTTCAGTTACTGGAGTACTATTTTCAAGTGAGGCCTATCAATTTTTGTGGCATCGATATATGGTATACAATCTCTTTTATAAAATTCTAAACCTAAAACCGGGAGTCCATCGTACAGAAATCAATGATAGTTCTGATAATCATATTATTAGGCTAAAATTGCCTCTCAGAGATATTTCATATCAAACTTTTAAACAATACAACTTTTGAGCTCATCGGTTCACTTCTTGTAGAGACATTTTCATTTGAAAATGAGTTTTTTCTCCGTTGTGTAAATATTTTGGTGAATGTACATCGCCTTTTGCAAAGTATTTTACCTCTAGAAGACCTGTTTTCAGTGATAAACTATTTAATATACATCGGGGGAATTTCCAAAAGTCATATTTAGTTTTTGTTTCAAATAAAACTTTAGAAAGTGTGATTGCATGAAATACAAATGTCGTGAATACAGTCACGTTTCGGTTCTGTTAAGTTAAAGCCAAAAGAACTCTAGGTTGTCAAAAAACGCTAGAATCTAATCAAGAGAAGACAAGTAAACTGTGAAGCTGATGGAATAATAAAAATAAAATATTTATGCCAGGTGGTTATGTCACTCGACTCGCAATCTGTAGGTCGCGGGTTCGTCCCACCAAACATGCTTGCCCTTTCAGCCGTGGGAGCGTTATAATGTTACGGTCAATCCCACTATTCGTTGGTAAAAGAGTAGCCCAAGAGTTGGCGGTGATGTCTAGCTGCCTTCCCTCTAGTCTTACACTGCTAAATTAGGGATGGCTAGCGCAGATAGCACTCGTGTAGCTTTGCGCGAAATTCAAAAACAAACAAACAAAACATTGTAACCACTTTCATTGTCTTATATTGTTTAGTGTCGTGATTGATCAGATCAACGAAAATCATAAGAAATAACTGAAGGGCATTCAATGTTGTTTCCATTAGGTACACAAAGTGTCGTAGACGTCAGAACATGTTGAAAACTATTCTCACAGTACAAATGTTGTTTCCATTAGGTGCACAAAGTGTCGTAGACGTCAGAACATGTTGCAAACTATTCTCACAGTACAAATGTTGCTTCTATTAGGTGCACAAAGTGTCGTAGACGTCAGAACATGTTGCAAACTATTCTCACAGTACAAATGTTGTTTCCATTAGGTGCACAAAGTGTTGTAGACGTCAGAACATGTTGAAAACCTTTCTCACAGTACAAATGTTGCTTCTATTAGGTTCACAAAGTGTCGTAGACGTCAGAACATGTTGAAAACCTTTCTCACAGTACAAATGTTGTTTCCATTAGGTGCACAAAGTGTCGCAGACGTCAGAACATGTTGAAAACTATTCTCACAATACAAATGTTACTTCTATTAGGCTCACAAAGTGTCGTAGACGTCAGAACATGTTGAAAACCCTTCTCACAGTACAAATGTTATTTCCATTAGGTGCACAAAGTGTCGTAGACGTCAGAACATGTTGAAAACCCTTCTCACAGTACAAATGTTGTTTCCATTAGGTGCACAAAGTGTCACAGTACAAATGTTGTTTCCATTAGGTGCACAAAGTGTCGTAGACGTCAGAACATGTTGAAAACCTTTCTCACACTGCAGTTCAATTACTCATTACCTACACACACATTGTCACGTCACGCCGTGACCATCTTATATATACCAGCCCACCCCCAATCTAGTAAATGCTAGAGCACTCCCGAAGGAACGGGATAGTTCTAGAAAGCAGGTGGCGTGACAATAGTCACGTGATCTCGCTGACGCAACACTGCGCAACACTCCTTAGTATTGTTCGTCCCGAACAATAGCCACATACAATAAACCAATAACAATTAACAATAACTTAATTAAATGTACAGAATTACAATCACAAAATTACAATTCAACAAAGTCTCTTAATTTTACGGGACGTATCTTCTTCTGTACTGGTCTCCGTCTCGTTGGCTTCTGCTTCATATTGGGTTCATCTGCTTCATCAGGAAATGCCCTATCGTCGATAACAGTCACATTAGTGGCAGTAACTTCACCAAGAGCTTCACCGTTTCCCTTCTCAAAAGTGAGTTGAGTTTCTTCTTCGACAGTGGCTTCTTCAGGTGCAGCGTCATTGGTTCTGTTGTCCACTTCGTCCCAACTGAAATGTCCTGGACCGTGATAACGTCAAAGCCTGTTGGCATGCACCACTTTTGGCTTACCTCGCCGACCACATTTTATCCAGAAAGTCACGTCTGAGAGACGATCCACTATGTTATATGGGCCTTCCCATGGAGAAGAAAACTTAGGAGACTTCTGGTCTTCCTGGGATTATACAACCACACCTTGTCTCCTGGTACAAAGCTGACTTCAGTAGATCTCTTATCATAACATAGCTTCATGGAATCAGCAGACGTTTTCAAGTTTGAATGCAGTTTATGGTGAATATCATCCATCCTTTCCGATAACACTTTCACAAACTCTGGCACATTCTCAGGCAAATCTTCATAAGGTCGGCGTCCTGTTAACAGATCCACTGGCAACCGAAGTTCCCGACCAAACATCAACTTTGCTGGAGTGTATCCAGTGGTTTGATGCTCTGCTGTCCTATAGGCCATCAACAGTGGAGGGAGTAAGACATCCCAGTCATCTTGGCGGCTATTACAAAACTTTGCCAATTCCTGTCCCAGTGTCCAGTTGAACTTTTCTACCATCCCATCAGACTGTGGATGAAGTGGCGTTGTCCTGGTCTTTCGGATGCCAAACAACTTGCAGCATTCTTGGAACACAGCTGATTCTAAGTTACGGCCTTCATCGGAATGCAGTTCATATGGCATACCAAATCTGAAGAAGAAATCACTAATAGACGAAGCTACAGTTGTAGCTTCCTGATTTGGTATTGCATATGCCTCAGGCCACTTGG